CCTCATTCCCATGGAAAAATCCCTCAGTTTCCAGGGATTCTGCACCAAGAAACAGGAAAACCTGGAAAATGCAGCAGGAAAAGATGATCCCTGTCTCCATAGACCTTGAGGGCTGCTGATGGAACCAAATCCATTTCCCAAATCCATCTCCCAATCCATTTCCCAATCCATTTCCCAAATCCATTTCCCAAATCCATTTCTCAAATCCATCTCCCAATCCATTTCCCAATCCATTTCCCAAATCCATTTCCCAATCCATTTCCCAAATCCCTTTTCTAAATCCATCTCCCAAATCCGTTTCCCAACACGAGTGTGGGCATAGCAGGAGAAATTCCTGCTCTCCCATCTTTTCAGCATCTTGGGAATTCCAGGAAAACTGGGAAAATCCATGGCCAAGCCAGGGAGGACAACCCTGCCCAAGAGGATTTTACTGGGAAAAAAAGGAGCCAAGAAATTACTAAAGAGCCATAAAAACAGATGGGAAATGCCCCTGAAATCCCTTTTTTTTTTTTTTTAAAAACAAGAATTCCATGGAAAGGGAATTCCAGCGTGGATGGAAATTCAGGACCCTGCAATTCTGAAGGACTGACCCTGATCCCGCCCCTGGCTGCTTCCAAAGGATGAATCCCGCCGAGCTCCAGGAATTCAGGAATGCTGGAGATTCCCAGAGCCGGGATTTGGACAACCAATGCCGGGAGCTCGTGGGAGTTGGGAAAAGTGACTCAGAAACGGGACCGAGCTCAGAATTTTCCATGGGAATCCAAACATTCCTGGGAAAAACTCGGCTCTGCAGGAATTTGCAAATCGGGATTTTAAAGCCACCGCCCCATTTCCTTTTTTTTTTTTTTTTTTTGGGAATTCAAGGCGAGGGAGAGGCTTTGATGAGGCGTCAAACGCCGCTTGGAGCAGCCAAAATATTCCTTGAAATTTAAGGATCATCCTGGAAAGGGCGACAGCCACACGATGGAAAAGCTTTGGAAAAAGTTCTCCTGGCACAAACCAAATTGGTAGATTTTTAATGGATCATAAAAATCCCTTTTTCCCCCCCTTTTTTCCAGGTAGAATTTGTATTTTTAATGCTTTCCCCCCTGTCTCTATTCCCAAAGGTCCTGCTGGGAATCAGGGAAGCAAAGCTGCTGCTTTTCCTTCCTAAAAAAGATCTGGTGCTGGCTGCTCTGATCCTTTGGGAAAAGATGGTTAAGATGCAAAACCCCTTTTCCTGCTGATTCCAAATTCCTCATTTAAAATTCCTTATTAAATCCTCTCTCTTCCCAAAAAAACCCCAATTTTTTTCCCAGCCTGGATTCTCCTCATTTTGGCCACTGGGAAGGACAAAGCACCAACCCTCAAAATTGATTATCTGGGATTGATTATTTTTGTTAGGATCATTCTCAATTCCACTAAAAATGGGATTTTTAACTGAGATTGGGAGACTCTGGAGCCTGGAGAGGGTCAGGAAGATCCAGGATCATTCCTGGAGGGGGAAAACCCAGCCTTAATTCCAAGCGGAGCTGGTGAATAACTGATCCCGAATAATTTATCCCAAATAATTTATCCTGAATAATTTATGGATCCAGTCTGGGTGAGAAGAGCCCCAGACTTCAGTCCCAATTAAGGCCTTTGTGAATTGTCTGGGAACGGATCCCAATTTTTCCCATATTTATTTGTTGCCCGGGATCGCGCTCCAAGCGGAGCCGCCGCACAATTCCCGCTTTTCCCGAGTGTTTGCAAACAGCTCCCACTGCCAGCATTTGGAGGGGGTTTTCCAGCCCCTATCCCACCTTGGAATCTGTGGGAATTTCATGGGAATGATCCCCAAGAACTCCTGGTTGGATGAAGAGAGGACAGCAAAGGCTCCCGAGGTGATTTTTCCCAAAAAATCCTAAAATTCAGCTGCTGGATCCACCTTTTCCAAAGCCTTCCATAAATGAATGGATGGCCTGGAATGCTGCTGGGAATTCCAGAGGCTGCCAGGGTCCTGCATAAATGGATGCTGGAAGTTGCCAGGTTTATCCAGGTTTATCCCCCGACTCAGGAGCAGCGATCCCAATCCCAAAATTCCACCCCAAAAATCCCGGTGCTGGGCTTTATCCACAGGGAACGCCCCCAGATTTCAGGGGTTTTGAACTCATCCCATTTTCCTGCTTATCCCGGTGCCCTGGCAGGAAGCAGCAGCTGGGATTGGGATTCTCCTTCCTGAGCTGGGCTGGGAATTATTCCCTTGGGAATAATCCCATAAAACCAAAGCCATGGGAGAGGGAGAGATCCCAGCCCTCATTCCAGGGGCTGGAACCTTGGGATTGGGAACAGACAGTGGGAACAGCTCCTTCATGTCCTGGAGAAGGGATTTGGGATCAAAACAGGGGGTGTTGACGAATTTTTGTGTCCTTTTGGGACATCAGGAATGTTATCCCACGGGATCTCCCAGGGAAGGGAAGAGGCATTGATGAGCAGGGAGATCCAGGAGGAAATCTGGGAATAAAGGGGCAGAGCCTCGTGTTTGGGATTCACCTGCACAGGTGGAATTCCCAACCTCCCCTGCACCAGCTCTGGGCATTCCCAGCATCCCCCCAATCCCTGTCCTAGCCAGGAAATCCAGGAACGCGGCCCTAAACGTCAGGGAAGTGTTTTTCCAGCTGAAAGCAGGAGCGGGGATGATCCCTGGGCTTCAGGAGAAGGAGCCGGGGCTGGGCAGGGCGGCAGGAGTCCTGCTCCACCTCTGGAATCTGAATTCCGCGGGAATCTGAGATTCCGTGGGAATGGGAACAGCTCCTCTGAACCCCAGAGGGGGCAATTCCAGCTCAACGCCCGCGGTTTTGGGAAAAGAGAATTCCTGCAGCCCCGCTGAGCCCGGATGGGGTCGGGATGGGGCTGGATCGGGGTCCTGCAGAATTCCCGGCCCTTTTCCCTGTGCCAGGGGAATACCACGGGCTCTGCTGGGGCTCTGGGCACGGCTCAGCTCCCGGTTTTCCTCTGGGATGAGAAGAGAGATCCCAGACGAAGGGAAGGGTTGGGATTGGGAAGAGAGATCCCAGACAAAGGGAAGGGTTGGGATTGGGAAGAGAGATCCCAGCCAAAGGGAAGGATTGGGAATGGGAAGAGAGATCCCAGCCAAAGGAAGGGGTTGGGAATGGGAAGAGAGATCCCAGCCAAAGGAAGGGGTTGGGAATGGGGAGAGAGATCCCAGCCAAAGGGAAGGGTTGGGAACAGCCGAGGAGCAGAGGCCAAGCCTGGCCCTCAGATCCCGATCCTGCTCCGCCACTTCCAGCGGTGCCACAGGTGACAAAGCCGCTCCCACTGCCCGCAGAGGGGACACAGAGAGCCGGGAATGCCAGGAAAAGCCTCAGCAGGGCGGGATCAGCATCCTCCAGCACAGGGAGCCCGGGCTGGAGCCGGGAGATGCTGCCCCATGTCCCTGGAGTGACCTGAGGGACATCCCGGGACAATCCCCAGGACAGGGAATCTTGTCCTGAGCCACCGCAGGCCGGGCCTGAGGGAGGCAGGGATGAGCCATTCCCATCCCAGCTTTTCCAGGGGCTCTGCCCGCGCCCAGGCTGCAGGATCGGGGCTCCGGGAAAGGCAGGGCTGGCTCCTGGCTCGGCACCAGCGCCGCGTCCCGAGGAGGGGACAGGGGTGGGACACACAGGGGACACAGGAGGGGACAGAGGTGGCACCCGCGCCTGGCTCCGGAGCTGCCACAGCCTCGGCGCATCCAGGCTGGAGGAAGCGGATGGCGATGGCAGCGCCCACCTGCAGCTCCAGGCACAGCATTCCTGGGAATGCCGCTCCCGGCGGCTCCTCCCGGCCCCCCGCGCCCCTCTGGGCTCCCGCTGGGACCGGCCCTGCGTGCCCAGAGCTTCTCCCGCTCCTCCTGGGCGCTTCCAATCCCTTTTTCCAGGCTCTGGGAGAAGCCAGGGCCGGGCTGAGCACGGGGAGAGGCGAGGGCAGCGCTGGCTCAGCCGCACACGGAGCGCGGGGACCCTGCCGGCCCCGAGCCCTTTCCCGAAGCGGCTCCGGGGATCGCCCCGGGGCTCTCCGGGCTGGGCTGGGCACGGCCCCGGGCAAGGCTGGGCACGGCCCCGGGGAGCGCTGGGCACTGGCACAGGGACCCGGGCAGGGCTGGGCACGACTCCGGGCAGGGCTGGGCGCTGGCACAGGGACCCGGGCAGGGCTGGGCGCTGGCACAGGGACCCGGGCACTGCGGGCGGGTGCAGCCGCGGCGGGGAGGGGCAGGGCTGGGCAGCGGAGAGAGGTAAACACGGCACCGGCACAGAAAGCAGGAAAATGACATTAAAATGACACCAAAATGACAGCGCGGCTGTTCCCGACGCGTCCTTTGCCATCACCTTTGCTGTCCCATCCTCCTCGGCCGGCTGTCCCCTCCCTGGGGTGGCCGAGCAGGTGAAGGAGGGCTGGCCAGGAGCCCCAAGGACCGCATTGTTTCTCTATTTCACACCCAACGTCCCTCCCGTCACATTTTCCGCGTCGCTCGGGCACCGAGGGGTTAATGCCCGGGAAGCGCCGCTCCCGCCTGGATCGCATCCTGCCGGCATCCCTGGATCCCGGCCCCGCCGGCGGCTCCGTGACCAGCGCATCACCCCCGGCCCCGCCGCCCTCACCCCCGCTCCCACCCGCGCCGGGGCCTGGATCCGCTCGATCCCGGAGGAGTTTCCAGGAGCGGGAATGCAGCTCCCTCCCCGCTGGACCCGGGAGCCATCCCTGCCTTCCTCCCGTCCCTTCATCCCCTCCCGGAGCGCCGCTCTCCGTCCATTCCCTGGTTTTTTCCCCCTGTTTTTTTTTCCCCACCCCCTTTATTTCCAAACGCACCATTTCTCCTCAAATCCAGCAGCGAGCAGGGAGAGCAAAGCTCTGGAATGGGAAAAAAAAACAACCTCGAGCGAGCCGCCGAGGCGCCGGCTCGGTGCTGCAGCGCTCAGGAGCCCCCCCAAAGTCACCCCCGGCCCAAAAACCCCAAACCACGGCGGTGGCCCCCAACTCACCCTCCGCGTCTGTCCGCGTCCCCCGGCGCCGCTGTCACCGCCTGCCGCCCCCCGCCACAGCTGCCCGCACATCTGGCTCGGCTGGCAGACAAAAGGCCGGGTGGCTCCGGAGCTGTCACCGCCGGCGGGGTCTGTCCTTGTCGCTCAGGACGGGGACAGGGCCAGCAGGACCCTCCGGCCACGCTGACCCTCAGGGCTGAAGGCGGCGGGGAGAGCTCCTCACCCTTGGCTCGCCCGGCGCCTTCGCAGCCGCACAGTCCCCGCTCCCCCTCCTCTTCCTCCTCCTCCTCCTCCCTCTCCTCCCTTCTCCCCTCCCTCCCCAATCCTCCTCCTCACTCCAGCCTTGTCGCCACGACGTGCCACCCACCCGAGGCAGCTCCTGCCTTAACCCCTGCGGCTCTGGCCTCTCCCGGGGGATGATCCCGAGGGATGAAGGCTCCCCCGGGGATGCTGAGCCGCCCCTCGGCATCCGCAGCGCTCCCGCTGCGCCACCGCCGTCCCCTCCCCGCAGCCGGGGGTCGCCCAGCCCGGGGGCTGCGGGGGGAAGGGGACACTCGGTGGATTTGGGATTTGTGTCCCAAATCTCCTTCTGCCCACCGGGATTTCTCGGCATTTCCAAGGATGACCCCGCCAGCCCCGTGTCCCTCCCCGAGGGGACAGCGCGGCCACCACGCGGGGTTCCCCAGAGTGGTCCCCAAGCAGGGCGCGCTGCCAGGGGCTCGTTTTCCCCAAAAAGGGATTTTCAGGGACTCTTAACTTTGGGGAAAAATCTGGGGAAAATCTGCATTTTGCTCTGGAGAGCTGGGGTCCCAGAGGGTGACACAGACCCCACACACGGTGACACCCAGCGTGACACGGGGACAAGGACCTGCCGCCGGCAGCTGCGGGGCTGGGACAAGGGCAGGGTTTGGGGTGCGGGCAGCAGAGCACCCCCAGAATTATTTTTTTTGCATCCCAGAAAAACCTTTCCCATCCCCGGGGAGGGATAGAGAGGGCCTCGGGAAGGGAGGGGGGCGGTGACAGCGGCCATCGAGTCCCCGTTTCACGCTCGGTTTGGCGAGCGGAGCCGGGGCTTGGCTCCTTCCCAGGGCCACCGCCCGCGGCTGGGGACGGAGCGGGGCTGGAGCGGGGATGGAGCTCGGGGTTGGAATTCGGGGCTGGAGCGGGGTTGGGGTCTGGATCAGGGTTGGAATTCGGGGCTGGAGTGGGGTTGGGGTCTGGATCGGGGTTGGAATTCGGGGCTGGAATTTGGATCTGGAGCGGCGCTGGACCTGGGCTTGGGTCTGGATCAGGGTTGGAACTCGGGGCTGGAGCTCGGGGCCGGAATTCGGGACCGGAGCTCGGGGTTGGAGCTCGGGGCTGGAGCTCGGGGCTGGGATCGGAGTGGGGCTGGAGCTCGGGGCTGGAGCGGGGCTGGAGCTCGGGGCTGGAATTCGGGGCTGGAATTCGGGGCCGGAGCTCGGGGCTGGAATTCGGGGCTGGAATTCGGGGCCGGAGCTCGGGGCTGGAATTCGGGGCTGGAATTCGGGGCTGGAGCTCGGGGCTGGAATTCGGGGCTGGATTTCGGGGTTGGAGCGGGGCTGGAGCTCGGGGTTGGAGCGGGGCCGCGCACACGCCGAGGAGAGCGCGCAGAGAGCTCGGAGTGACCTGATTTAATTGGCAGCACTTCAATGGCATCGAGTCCCTGCCCGCCCCCCCTCGGCAGAGCCCTTCTGCAGGCGCCTGAAGGGAGCTGGGCTCGGGTTTAGCGTCACTAAAGCCGGGCTTTGCAGGGTCAGGGGGCTCAGCTGCACCGGCCCCTCCAGGATCGTCCAACAGCAAAAGGAAAAATCGGAGCTGGGTCATAGGAGGAAATTCCCATTTATTTTTCCCAAATCCAGTCAGCATCCTGTGGAAACTGCTGAGGAGCTCCGGGTGGGCTGGGAAAGCCCTTCCAGGGGGATTCGGTGGGCTGGGAAAGCCCTTCCAGGTGGATTTGGTGGGCTGGGAAAGCCCTTCCAGGGGGATTTGGTGCCCGTGCCCGTTGCCAGGGCTGGGGGCACCTGGAGCAGGGGTTGGTTTGCAGCGCCCTGTGCTGTGGGGCTGGCAGGGAAATGCCCCTTGGAATTTCCCGGATTCCTGTGGAACTCCTGGAAAAGCCCCTCCAGGTGGATTTTGGACGCTCCAGGCATTCCCGGGGGACGGAGAAGCCGCTCCCAGGTGTCGCGGAGCCCTGTCCGTGCCCCATCCGGCCTTGCCCGGCTCCTGCCGCGCTGCTGCAGAGGCTGAGTAATTCCTGAGGCTCCCGAGATGCTCCTCAGGCTGCCGAGCACATCCCGATCCAGGCTTTAATTGCGTGGGATTGCAGCCGAGATGGCTCTGATTTATCCTCCCTGCTGCGCCAGCACTTCTCCCCGGCCGGCTCCGGGATCCACCTGGAGAACATTCCCTGGGAAAGGGTTAAAAACGGTCCCTGGAATCAGGAGAAAAGAAAATCTTGGAGTCTGGAGTGGGGTTTTCCCTCTCACACGTGTGGGGTTGTGACATTCCCGTTCTTTTATCCCTTAGGACACGAGGTGGGAGCTGCCCTGAGGAATTTTCCTGGAGAGCCACGGGATTTAGGGGGTTAAGCCAGGCTCAGCCAAGCTCAGCTCCACCAGACCTGGATGAACAAAGGGATCCAGCACCTTTTATTCCCGTCTGGATCAGAAAAACCCCATGGATGGAGGAACCCTGCAGGCATCCCAAATTCCAGTTTTAACTCTGCTCCCCCATCCCAAGTTTAATTTCCATGAATTTGGGGTGGGCCAAGGTCACCCCTGTGGCAGGGATGGGGATGGGATCCTGTCCCCTTCCTCAAGCTGGAGGTGAATTCCCAAATCCAGAGCCCGGAATTCAGGGCTGTCCCTCTCCCATCCCATATTCCAAAAATTCCCCACATTTTCACCCCTTCCCAAATCCCATTTTTAACCCCAATATCCCAAATCACAGCAGCCTCCCCAAATTCCCACCTCCTGCTTCTTCCCATGGACACATCCCCGAATCCTCTGGAATTTCCATGATCCAGGGGTGGGAAATGTTCCTCTGCTCCCTTTATTCCCTGCATTTTGGGGCTGCTTTATGGCTGCCATAAAAGCTGCCCATAAATCAGGGCCGATCCCATAAAAACCAGGAATAACTGGAATTAGGGCCCAGGTGGGGGTGGCTCCCTCTGCCAGCACCGGGAATGTGCTGGGATTTATCCTTTCCTCATTCCCAGACATCTTCAGATCCACCTTGGGAAGCAATTCCGGGGTGAACACACCTGGTAGGGTCTCCCATTTATGGGATTTTTTATGGAGAACATGGGATTTTTTTAATAGATAACATGTGGGGGTTTTTTTTAATGGATAATGAGAATTTTTTATGGATACCATGGGATTTTTTATGGAAAACATGGGATTTTTTTATGGATAGCATGGGGTGGCTTCTTATGTATAACATGGGGTTTATTTTATGGATAACATGGGGGTTTTTAATGGATAATGAGGGTTTTTTATGGATAACATGGGAATTTGTAATGGAAAACATGGGATTTTTTTAATGGATAACATGGGGGGATTTTTATGGATAATGTGGGGATTTTTATGGATAATATGGGGTTTTTTTGGATAATATGGGGGTATTTATGGATAGTATGGCATTTTTTTATGGATAACATTGGGCGTTTTTTTTATGGATAATGAGGATTTTTTATGGATAACATGGGATTTTTAAATGGAAAACATGGGATTGTTTTATAGATAACATGGGTGGTTTTTTTTTATGGATAATGAGATATTTTATGGAAAACATGGGATTTTATTATGGATAGCATGGGGTGGCTTCTTATGGATAACATGGGATTTTTTTATGGATAACATGGGATTTTTTAATGGATACCATGGGGGTTTTTATGAATAACATGGGGGTATTTATGGATAACATGGGATTTTTTAATGGAAAACATGGGTATTTTTATGGATAGCATGGGGTGTTTTTTATGGAAAATGAAGGGTTTTTTTATGGACAACATGGGGGGTTTTTTGTGGAAAATGTGGGGGGATTTTTGATGGATAATGGGGGGGAATTTTTAATGGATGACGTGGGATTTTTTATGGAAAAAGTGGGGATTTTTATGGGTAACGTGGAGGATTTTTTTTTTAATGGAGACAGTGTGGAATGTCACTGTCACTGGGGCCATGGGATGTCACCATCATGGGAGTGTCACTGCCACCATCACAGGGGACAATGGGGTGTCACTGTCATGGGGGTGTCACTGTCACAGAGAACAATGGGGTGTCATTGTCACCATCATGGGGGACAATGAGGTGTCACTGTCACAGGGAACAGTGAAGTGTCACTGTCACCATCACGGGGGTGTCACTGTCACCATCACAGAGGACAATGGGGTGTCACTGTCACAGAGGACAGGAGGGTGTCACTGTCACCATCACGGGGGTGTCACTGTCACCATCACGGGGGACAATGGGGTGTCACTGTCACTATCACAGAGGACAGGGGGGTGTCACTGTCACAGAGGACACTGGGGTGTCACTGTCACCATCACGGGGCTGTCACCGTCCCAGGGATCCCCTCACCCCAGCCCTGTTTTCCCTCCCTCCCCCCGGGGCCCTGCTTGGGGACATTTTTCCCACTGGGGACATTCCGGGTGGGCGGCAGAGCCCGCGCTGGCGGTGCCACCGTTCCCATGGCAACGGGAGCCACCTCGTCCCTCCCTCCCTCCCTCCCTCCCTCCCTGCGGGCTGTGGGGACACACCTGAGTGTCACAAACCGGGGCGGGGGCGTGCGGTGGGATTTGGGAAGGGATTCCTCCCTCGGGAGGGGCCCTGGGATGGGATTCTCAGAGAATCCGGGGTTCCTCCATCCCTGGTATCGTCCAAGGGCCAGGCTGGGAAAAACTGGGATGGTGGAAATGTCCCTGCCCATGGAATGGGATCATTGGAAATCCTGAACTTGGAATTTCGGGCCCCTTCCAGTGTCCAAGGACCAGCCTGGAAAAACCTTGCATGGTGGAAATGCCCCTGCCCATGGAATGGGATCATTGGAAATCCTAAACTTGGAATTTTAGGCCCCTTCCAGTCCAACCCATTCCCGTTCTCAGAGCTTCCTCCCTCTCCTTTTCCCAGCCCTTCCCATCCATCCTGGAGCTCCAGGCCCTGCTGGCTCCTCATGAACCCTCGCTGGAGGCTGGACAGGGATAAATCCCAACCAAAACAGGCCAAAACTGTG